ATTAATAGTGTTTTTAGTGATGACGAAGAAAACATTGTTTAATTTATATTAATATGTATCACTTAAAAAAATTTTAATGAAGATATTTATCTTAATTATAAAAATATACTAGCATGTTTTTTAATTTTTGGAACCTAACCCTCCTTTTCGTATTAGTTCTTTGTTTCGTATAACACGGATTCGCATAACACAGCAATTTTTTGGAACGTAATTACCGCATTATACGAGGGTTACCTGTACATTATGTGAGGCACCACTGTATTTGGAACTAGCAGTTAGGCACGCCATTGCTCGGGCAAAAAGTAATGATGGTGAAGAATAAGATTATTACATTATAGCCAATCTTACCTGTTTTCACAGAATGCAAGAATTAGGTCCCCCGTTTCCAGACTAATTAGAGAATTTTTACATGGGTCTAAAAATATTTTCGATTGTTTGCAAAAACACAAAAAACCGCATCTGCGTCTGTAAATCTTGCACGTTGCTTTCTCTTAACACTTCAATTGTTACTTAATCATTTCCATTGTTAACACCCTTTCCCCACGGGGGAATTTTGAAAAATCCCTTTTTAGTGTACATTCTCAAGACGTACCCTATTAAAACATAATCAAAAACACAAAAAACCGCATCTAAAATAGTATATTAGAAGCCGAGTTGTTCATGGAAAGCCTTAATCCTGTCCCTCTCTTCCGCAGGAGAATTTTGAAAAATCCCTTCTTAGTGTACATTCTTATGACGTTTCCTAACTGTGTACCAAATTTCAACCTTCAACTCCTAACTGTTTGGGCTCTGCACTTCTTATTATTATTCGGAGTGGCTATTTCAAAGGGCAGTTTTGGCAACTAAAAATAATATTGTTGACGATATCAACTTTAATTAATTAATTAATTTAATATTCAAAAGAAAATTCCTAGTAATATTGAAAAGAATATTCAGAACTGGCAAGAGCTCTTTTTCTTTTAAGTTTGGGCATTGTATAAAATATAAATCAAATCAACTTTTTATTAACAAATACACTAAGAACACTTTACACAGTTTTCACACTTTATTTTTGATTTATATTCAGCCACTGTATGAGTTTGACTACTCACACTTCACTGTTTGTTTTTATTCACTCACTGCACTACTTTGGAATTTTCACTTCTTTTTCGGTTTTTCCCTTCATCACTGATAAGAAACTGACATTTGAACCCATGGCGGATCTTGCTTTATATACCCCCACTTTATATTGACCCACTGACTAAATGTATTAATGAGCAGGAAATGTACAAGACATTAGATAGAGCTGATGTTAACACGATTTATAAGATATATAACTACGTCAAACAACTAGTTAAATAATAATTATGACAAAATATTAATATAAATATATTGATTAATAAATGGTAAATACTAATATTGTTAAATAATTATTATATGAAATGTTAATATGCGTTTTATCAAAATAAAACGCCCTTGTAACAGGCAAAAGCCTTCTACGCCAATAAATAAAGATTACTTACTTACTTATATACCCCCACCAATGGGTAGTCCCACCCATACAAAAAGGCTTCAAATGGTCCACAATGTTCCAGAACATTCCACAACATTCAAGAGTGTTCTGGAATGTTCCACAATGATTTGGGATGTTCCTGAACATCCTGGAACATTTTGGAATGTTGTGGAATGCTCTTGAATGTTCTGGATTGTTCTAAAAATTTCTAGAGGGCAAAACTTCTAGCTCTTATATCTTCAGCAGTATGCCCTTCAAGTAAAAACGGGAATATTTTTCATGGATGGGGGATAGATGGCTACCACACCATATAACTCCCTTGATCGTACTGGGACTCGTTTTTGAGTTTTAGCGGCATGCACATTGTACACTTACCTTTATTACATAAATTGATTTATATTGATTTCAATTAAACTGGTGGATAAAACTAATTATGGTTGTGTTTTAATTTAACATTTTAAGTTTTAAGATGATTACATCTTAAAATATTAACATTTTTCTCAAATTACTAATCAAATTTTATCATATTGTGATACTCTAATATGTGTTTGCCATTTGTGAAAATGTTAATATTTCTCACCTGCATTATATTGAAATTGATATTCTAGATACAGTTTCAATATAATAAAATATAAGATTTAAAATAAATATTAACTATTGAAATTTTTTAGTTTTAACAATGAGTACAAAATGATGCTTTATTATCTCATAAAATTTAAATTTTGTAAAATTTATTGTTTAAAAGTTCATATTGGTACCTTAGAAATTTATGAAATGTTTAACAGTAAAAATAATTTCATAAATGTCAAAATTTAAATTTTGAAACAAATTTCGTTGATTATCATACTGAAATTTTCTTTAAAAAAGTAAGATTAAATTTGAGTCAAGAAGTAAAAAGTATTTTACTTTTTTTATGTAAAAATACATTTTTGAAGATTTTGATTTAGCATGCAAAAAATTATATAAATTTCTTATTTCTGATGGTAGAAAACTAACAATGAACCACCGAAGAAAGTTCGACCAAAGGTAATAAATTGTGGAAAATGTGAAGCATGTTTAAGAGAAAGTGATTGTGGAGAATGTAGTCATTGTCGAGTAAGTAAAAAATTATACAAAAGTTTTGAAATATTTACATATTTTTTATATTGATATTAAGGACATATCTGTATATGATTTGAAAATAATTTATTAAATAATGTAAACATTATTATTCTGGAATTGGTATAAATTAATTATACAATTTTAAATTATATTAATAGGATAAACCTCGTTTTGGTGGTCCAAACAGAATAAAGAAGAAATGTCGACTGAAAATTTGTATTAAAAATTTGGTAAAATATTTATTTTATATTTTAAGAATAGTGTATTAAAAGTAATATTTATAATTTTTTATTTTTAGTGTTTGAGTTATTTTTTAGTAGCATGTGACTCCATTGTAAAACAAGTGGTAACAAAATACAAAATGTTTAGAATTCTGGAGGTTTATACAAGATTAAATGTTCTATGAAACATTATATCTCACTTTCAAATTATCTCAAAAAACTTAAATTAAAATTAAGAACAAAGAAGAGCCTTTAAAAATATTTCTGGAATGTTTTTAGGACTCTTCTTTTTTAATTGAATTTTATTTAAATCACCTGAAGTTGAGGTAAAAATGCCTATAAAAGATTTGATCACATAAACCTCTAGACCAGGAGAGTCAAACTCAAACTACTTAAGTGCCAATTTTTTGTCTGGAGTATGACACTGGGCCAGATGTTTTTAGCTTTTGTAGCCAAAATTTTTTAAAAAAGTATCTGAAAAGTAGCCAACTCAAAAAACTCATTTTTAATAACCCGCAATTTGACAATAAATTTAAAAAAAACCACCATTTGTACTTTTCCAGCAATAAATTTGATCACAGACAAAACATTTTTGGCCAATTTACAGCTTTGAAGCAGGTCTGTAAACTGATCCAAAAATAAGGAGTTCAAAATTCAAAGTACAAGAATAAACTGTAATTTACTAATATTTCAAAATTACTCATTCTATATGCAAAATAGTGCAAATTATATAATAAATGATGTTGCGAAGATGGACTTTAATTTGAAATTCAGAAGATGAAATAGAGAAATAAAATAAATAATTCTAAGTAATATGAATAAATAAATATAAAAATAATAATAATAATTGAGTGCAACAATTTGGTTTATTAATTTATTATTTGTTTAAGTACAAAATATCACATATTCTTTGGTATCAAGATGATAAAATACAAACAAATAGCGTTATTGAATTCATGTCGCGGGCCATGACTGGCCTGTGGGCTGTATCTTTGTCATGCCTGTCCTAGACTCAATATTTAAATGATGATTTAATTAAAAGTAACTAGTTATTTGTGTTAGTTGATTTTTAAAATAATTTTATTTCTAAAAATTGCCATTAAGCAATTGTGATATAATCAACAGTTTTCAGTGAAGCTTCGAATTTAAGTTATACTAGAAGAAATGATCTTACAAATAATTTTTATTTGTAATTTCTATCTATTTATTTTTTTGCCTCAGAAAACACGAAAAACTCCACTATCATCATCACCATCAACACCTGTGACGACATCATCTACTCCATTATCAGCCATTACCATGCAAACTCCTTCACCTCTATCATTACATATAGATGATGATGATTTACTCTCTGATCAAGCAAAAAAGAAAGGTTTTGGATGTGGAGAGTGTCCAGGATGTTTAAGAATTGAAGATTGTGGAGAATGCCAGACCTGTTTGGTTTGTGATCCTCATTACTTTTTTCTTAATGTTATTTAAATTTGTTAATATGACCAATAATTAATGTTGTGTTAATTAGGATGAAAAACATGCCAGACCTAATAGTCCTAAAAAGAAATGTCTTCTTAAGGAATGTGAAATGATTTCTGTAAGAATTTTTATATACTAATAATGAATATAATTTTCTTATATTTTGAAATATAAACTCTCTTAATCAAGGAACCCGTCAGCTAATTAGAATATTAATTTTTTAAATAAAATTTTATAATAATATAACTACTACATTAAGAAGATAATAGTATTTTAGAATGCAGAGTTACAAATTTAAAAATGAAAAGTGAATTGTTTTAAATATTTGTATAGAGTTACTTTTATTGACAAGACTATGCCTTGTTTATAAAATCATGGTGCCATCCTGTGTTACCAGCTTAGAGGTATGAAGGAGTACATGTTAAGAGTTGCAATTTGTCATGGAGTATTGGTGTCAAAATCATGCGCGCATAAAAAAAAAAACAGATTTGTTGGTACTCAGGACCAAGAACCAAGTCAAAATAAAATACAAAATGGCAATACTTGTTATAAACAGGCATTAGTGCAAGATTTGCACACGTGTTGCTCGTTGGAAATGTGAATGTTGCGAAATGAAATTTTGACAAATGCATACATTGGGAAGTTTGAAGTGTGAATGTTGCAAAATTGAATTTTGCAACATTCACATGGGGCAACATGCAATGGAAAGGAATTTGAACATTGGATAGGTTAATTTTACTGAAAATGCATCGTGGACGACCTTGTGGTCATGGTCAAGGCTGGCAAAGTTTGAACAATTGCACTCAAAACCAGCAAAATCAAAGGAGATTGGGGAATGAAAACAAGACCCACCTTGGGCTTCAAAGTAATCCCACTTAGTAGTGAGTCTCCAAGACATAGTCTTGTCCCAATTACGGCTTTGCCATTTTACTTGTTTTCTTTGAAAATGATATAAATGGAGATCAGATTTTGTAGCTACAAAAATCTGAAAAAGTAGTGAAAACTTAGTTTTGAAAGTAGCAAATTAAAAAAAGAACAAACAAACAAACAAACAAACAAACAAAAATCTTTATTGTTAACACATATAAGACAAAGAAATGAAAAAGAATGAACAATTAAGTGAACCACTATAATTCTTTTACTACTTTAATATACTATTTGTTGTATTTTTATTATGATTACTTTGTTACTATTTTAATTTACATTTAAGTAAATATTATAGTGAACCAATATGTATATCATTGTATTTTTCAGCTTTAGTATTGTTATTTGATGATATGATCATAACGTTAACTGTTATATGTGCATATTTAAATATTGTAATGATGATTGAATCTTTTCTACACAGTTTTTCTTTGTAGAGTTATCTGTAAAAGCAAATGTTTTGCAGAAATTATATGAAAATAGAAGTTATAGTTTATGAATAAGCACACTGTACTAAGAAAAAACATTTCGCACAATAATAGTAAGCAGGAATGAAGGAAAGGGATTGGTTTAATATATTACCAGCTGTGAACTCTGTTGAACTGGCAACATTGAGTTTATTTCAGGAAAAACTTGCATTAACTGAAACTACATATATTGAGAGTTAACTATATATTTTTTTATAATCATCAAAATAAAATTTCCTATTTGCAGGGAGCTATTCATAGACTTAACAATCATGTGCTGAGAAGTTTACTGAAATTAGTATGTGAACATTAATTCTTTTTGTTGCAAGAGTACATTTGAAATAGAAAAATGTATGTGTTTCCTATGGAAAAATTTAACAAAATGTGTGTAAAAGATAAAAAAATAAAATAAAATAGCATTAGTAGCTCAACTGGATTTATTTAGGACTGCCAGTAAATATATGTTATCAGGAATGATCTGATCTCTGAGCAGAAAAAAGTATCAATTGCTACCAAAGCTGATCTCTAATAATAATTGTTCTATTGAAATAGATATTTTTGTATAAAATTTATTTTTGTTTCTGAGAAGAAAATAGCTTATTTTTTTTGTTTATTATATGCTAGCACTACTGCAACACACTATATTTTTCATAACTATTTGTCACGAAGGTTCAACAGTTTAACTTGGATGATAAATATTTTTATTTTAATGAAAATTATTTATATGATTTGTTATACTTAAAAATAACTTTTATGTTGTTATTTTAGGGTGAAAGAGTTTATCAAGTTGAAAAAGTTTTAGGAAAGAGATTTCAGAACGGTCGTTTGGAATATTTACTTAAATGGAAAGGTTATCCTAAGTAAGGAGATGAAAAAAACATTCATTTTTAATGTTTACAATGTTAAATTTAATTGCTTAATTTTGTTTTTAGTTCTGAAAATTGTTGGGAACCAGAAGAAAATATTTTAAGTCGTGATCTAATTGAAGAATTTGAAAGATCTAATCAAATGGAGAATGAGGATTCTGTGACTGAAAAAGCAATTCAATTACCTGAAAAGCGTCAATGGGAAGATGATTCTGATCAAGAGGCAAAAAAAATTAGACTTGATGATGAAGTTAGTTCTTTATTTTAACTAAGTTTAAAGTATAACCTTAATTTATAAAATACAAAAGAATTTATTTCTGTTAAATTAGTTAAAATCTGAAATTAAATTTTTATTACATTTTTATTAATTTTATATTTCCGCAAAAAGCAAACATTTTTATATTGATAGATATTTAGTTTTATTTCAATAGATATTTAGAGTTTTGTCATGAAGTCACTCATTAATTTTTTTCAGGCTGTTTTATCAGAAACAGATTTGGAAGAGTTGCAGGAATTTGGTTCCAATAAAGATCCTCTGCTGGAAGCATTGGGACTTCAAAAACAGAGTGATTCCGAAACACCTACATCTCCTATGTCAGAGACGAGGAAAAAGCGAACAAGCAAACAAGCAGCAATGAATTTAATAAAAAGTGTTTGTGGTAAGAAAAAACGAGTTGTTGTCGAAAGCCCAAAACAAAAGTTATGGGAAGTTATGGATGATGAATCCTCATTTATAGATCATACTAAAGCTCAAGATGTAGATGACGATAGTCCCGAGTTGACAACATCAGTATTATACATACCAAAACCCGACGAACCAGGAAAATATATTCTAGTCATGGGAGAACAGAAACAACTTGACATGTTGGAAAAAGCAAATTTAAATCCAAAAGTAATTTTAGGGCCAAAATCAAAAGAAGTAGAAGAGGCTGAAAATGACTTGAATGTTTCTACAAAAGTTTCTTCTGACAAAGAAAATAGTTCATTGAATGAATCGAAAAACTTAGAAGATAAATATGATGAATATGATTTCAGCCTAGAGGATGAATTACCTCTAAAGAAACCATTACATGAAAAAAGTGAACAACCTACTACTGAAACTAAAAAGAAAAGCAAATCATCTAAACAAGATAAAGACAGTAATTCTTCAGTTGGAAAATCACCATCAAGTAAACGTAAAAACAAACAATGCAAGGAAGAAAGTCTTGCAATTCTTCAAATGATGAGTGATATATCTGAGGCTAGAGCCAATACTCGAAATATCTCTATTGATGAAACTGAAGTTCTTAAACCAAATAAAGGAACAAGTGGAAACAGTATAGTAGAGCAGTCTTCTGAATCACCTGTTTCCACATCTAATAATAACGATTTACTTTCGACTGCTCTTACTATAAAAAGAGGACCTGGAAGACCACCAAAAGTTCCCAGACCATATTTAATTCCTCTGACTGGTAACCCACCATTACTTCAAGTTGTTAATGATAAATTAGTTCCAGTGAAAAGAGGACGTGGTCGACCTCGTAAAAGTGAATCACAGCTTTTATTAAAGGATAAAGGATCCAAAGTAGAAAGAATTGTAACATTAGTAGATAAAGATGGTATACCCGTTTCTAAAATTATCTCAAATGATGATGATAAAATTCTTTCTGGTCGTGCATCACCAGTAAAAGAAATGGCTATTGATATACTTGTTGACACCACAGGAAATTTAACAAAAGGAAAGCCACGAAAAAATGTTGACGATGATAGCATGTATGATGAGGAACCAGACAGTGATGGTCAGAGTGGATCTAAATCTGACACAGCTTCTCTAGAAGGTAGTTCAGAAAAGTTTTCTAGTAGAAAGAAAGTGAAATCTCCAACTCTGATTCGTAAACAAGAAACTAATCTTTCTAAAATAAAGAAAAATAGGGTTTTTGTAGTCATGCCTGATGGAACTATGGTAGAAGTTAGTGGAAGTGATCGCCAAAAAGCAATTGCTCGTGCAACAGCCAAAGTTGAAGCAATAAATAAAGGAGAAAAATCTAAAGAGGTAAATATTAATTTTATTTTCATAATACTTGTGGATAATTAGTCTGTAAATAATATAAAAGAATAAATGAGTAAATATGTATTTGGGCAGGAAATACTTGTATTGCATATTCAATATGAAAAGTTGTGTTTAAATGCATTTTTTGAAATGTTTCTATAAAGAAAATACACGATACTTTAAAAGCAGTACGTGAAATTTTGGAATTTTATATATTTACATGAGATCAAAAACATTTTTTTAATTTTGAATGTTGGGATTGAAATAGTTATCATTTAACTTAGAAATGATGAAATGCAATCAAAGAAATAGCCAAATCTTTATCAGACTATTTCATGCTAATTAATTAATTAAGTAATTTGACTAGAAATGGATAGTTAAGTTGCTATCTTCTGTTAAATTTAATGAGACAGTGACTTACAAACTTAACTCTAGACTAATTACTTAATAATTAATTAGGCTTAATGTAGCCTGATTAAAAAGTTTGGCTATTTGTTTGATATTTAAATTAATTATTGGGTTGGTTGCATATATAGTTAGTGATTTAGTTTATATTGTGAAAGAAATTGACAATTTAGTAAAATTCAAAAGTTTAAATTCATCAAAGTTTCCCTTTTATATGCTTTTTATTAATTAACCCTGCCTATCCAGATAAAATAACTCAATTTTCATCCATTTCCCAATTTCTGATCTAGTTGAAACTTTGCATACATATGTATTCCTGATGACAATACATTTGGTTTTTTTTTTTTTTTCAGAGTTTGCAAACAATTTTAGCAATTAGTGAAAAATTAAAATTTGTAAAAATCTAATAACAGGTATGCTACACATAGGTCAAATCTTGCCCCTTTTTGGTCATACTGTCTGTATAATAAAGTTTAGTAACTGAATTTTCCACACCCCAATTAAATACTAAAAAAAAGAAGAATTCGACAATTTATTGTTATCTATATAAAATTAAAAGGTAGAAAAATAAAAAATATAAAAAATTTTTAAAGAAACTCTTTATTTGCATAAATGCACAAAAAGTAAAAAAAAATTTTCAGCTTTCACAGTACAGTCGACCCCTTATAACATGGTAGATACGTTCTGGTTTTTATGAAATTCATTTTTTACGAGTCCTTAAATACATGTGTTGTGGCTATGAGCAATAACCCGAAAGGATGAGACTACGGATGAGACACTTTATTATTAGTTCAGCTGGTTACACAGTTAATGGTCAATGATGTCAAGCACGGGCGAAGAACGGTTTAACTGCGCTTCTTCGTCGTTTTCCCCCTCTCCTCCTCCACTTCCGTCCCTAACTCCCACACCCTCCAATAAATCTCTTGCCCCGGGTACATGCCCTGATCGAGTCGTATTCACCACGTGTCTCTCCAAATTTTCCCTTTTGCTGTTGGTGGGCCCACTTGTTGTTGCATCCCTCACATCCTCCCCACCTTCGTCCTCTGCTTTTAATGGGAGGACCAATTGGATGGGGCGGCTGATGCGCTTTCAATCAGGGAGCCTCAGACGGCATGTCCGCACGCAACCATCGCAGCTGGCAATCAGCTCTTCAATTACGGCTGTCCTCCACATCTGTCTAGGCAGCGAGTCCTCCCTAAGAAGAACAAGAGCTTCTTCACGGGGTGGTGGCAGTTTCTTCCTGACCCTACGAACATGATGTAAGTTTTGTAAGTATTCCTTTTGCCATTGTCTCCAGAAGCTGTCGGTGATCGACTGTTGGTGACGCCACTGTCTCACGAGGTCATGAATTGGGGTATGATTATTAGGCTCTGGGAGGCCAGAGATTCTTTTCCCTATCAAGAAGTGAAGGGAGTGAGGGCTTCTGGCTCCTCAGTGTCATAATTGTGCCACCGAGGCCTGCTATTGAGGACGGCTTTTATCCCGGTGAGTACGGTAGACATCTGTTCTGCATTTACTAGGCTTTTCCCTAGTATCTTGCGGAGGCATCTCTTCATGCTCCCACCATCCTCCCCACCAAGCCGCCTTCTCCACATTAAAGATCCAAGTGATGTCATGGTGAGCAGAGTAGCGGGCAATCTGCTGATCAGAGAGTGACTGCCTGAGATCCTATAGTTCTTTGTTGTCTGCGTGGAATGATTTGGCATTGTCTGAGTAAATCTTGTGAGGGAGGCCTCGCCATCCTACAAAGTGCTGTAAACAAAGGAGGAAACTGTCTGTTGACATGTTTGAAGACAGCTCTAGATGTACAGCTCTCGTTGTGGCATAGGTGAACAGTGTAATGTACGACTTCTCTATCGACTGACCCTTTCGGATATACAGTGGGCTGGCAAAGTCTACTCCTGTGACTGAGAAAGGCGGAGAGGGTAATACATGGTCAGGAGGGAGGGGGCTTCGGTTTCATGGTAAGGCTGATTCCTTTGGCATTGGCACGGTAGGCATCTATGCAGCACGGTCTTAATGACTTGGCAAGCTCGCAGGATCCAGAACTCTTCTCTCATGTTGGCAAGAACCACACAAGTGCCCAGATGCCCCAGGCGTAAGTGGCGGTCCATGATGAGGAGACGGGTGAAGGTGTGTCGGCCATCTAGTAGAATTGGATGCTGCGTGGAAGCACGGACATCTGCAAATTGCAATCAGTCCCCTACTCTGAGGATCCCATTGGACAGGAATGAATGGAAGCGGTAAATGGATGATTTTTCTGATATGAGTGTACCGGAGTTGAGTGCTATTAACTCGTTAGCAAAATGTCTTCTGTACTGATCTGATCCAGTGGTCTCTCGCTGAGCTTACTTCGTCTGCTGAGAGTTCTCCTTTCGGGTGGTTATTCTGGGGGTGAATTTTGCAAAGTGTAATGAAGTGGAGGATCCAGGCTGTTACTCGGAGGAGGTGTATGTAGCTACTGAAGCAAGATGTATCTAACAACTCAATGTGGGCTGCAGTGTGCAGGGTGACCACATGTTTGCGTTCTACTACAGTGCAATCTGATAGTGTCGGATGGTCATTGGCCGGCTAATATTCTGTTTGAGATAACCACTGGGGACCGTGCCACCATGATGTGCAACTGTGTAGGTGTTCCGCCGTTAGGCCTTGGGATAAGTGGTCAGCTGGATTGTCTGTGCCGGGACAATGGCGCCATTGATTTGGGTTGGTGATGCTTTGAATCTCCATCATTCAGTTTTGTACAAAGGTCTTCCATTGATTGGGGTGCCCACGGATCCAACCTAAGATCACCTTGGCATCACTTCGAAGAACAGCGCCCTCTCTTTGAAGGTTGGTTTCAGTAGTAACGTATTTTAGCAGGCGACAACCCACCAAGGCTGCAAGCAGTTCTAGCTGAGGTAAGGTAACCCTTTTGATGGGGGCTATACGAGCTTTGCTGCAGAGAAGACATGTGGAAATGCCTGATGGAAGATTGGTACGGATGTAAATAACAGCATCATAGGCATGCTCGCTAGCATCACAGAAGATGTGGATTTTTGCTAGATGTAGGTTAAGTCTTGTCGTTTTGATCAGGGCTGTGGAGTCGCGTAAAAATCTTCCAACTCCAACTCCGACTTTTCCTTACCAATCCGACTCCGGCTAAAACACCAAAACTCCACAGCCCTGGTTTTGATCCATCTTGGTATGGACACAAATAACAAATGTTGTAGGTCTTCTAGCCAGTGTTTCCAATGAGTTGAGTTGTCTGCTGGCAGAACTTCATCCCATTGAAGTCCGCGGAGCCAAGTGTCTTGGAAAATTATTTTCCCCATAATGGAGACGGGTGCAAATAATCTGAGAGGATTGTAGAAACGGGGTGTTGTGGCAAGTAGCAGGCGTTTCGTACTGGGGCGTTCCACCGCATCCGAAATGGCATCATTATAATCTATGGCAAATTTGTCCTTTGCGGTGTCCCAGTCTACTCCGAGAATTTGTGTTTTCTGGCCATATGCTATATTCCTGTCTTCCCACAGCTTCAGCAGTTTCGAATTGGTAGCTCATTTTGCCATGGGAAGCTGGATCTGACCCATCATATCTGTAATGTCCCGATATATTTGTATGACAGCGAGGTCAGTATTGTCTCCTGCTGAAAAGTCGTCCATATATAGATCTTTGTCCAGCATGTGGGCAGCTGAGGGGTGGCTGATTGTGGAACTGGCAGCTAGTTCCTAAAGGGCGGCTGACAGGAGAAATGGACTGGAAGGCAGGCGTTGGAACTGGTAGACAGCCAATTCCTTCGTAGTGTGTAGATGCCTCTTTTCATCAGTGACCACCTGAAACCAGAAGAAGCGGGTGACATCTTGGTCGTTGGGGTGCAAGGTTAGCTGGAGGAAGGCTTGACCCACTAATGCCCTTTTGTGAAGATGAAAGTGAAGTAGTGTCGCTATGATGTCTGGCATCAGGTTGGGACCTACTTCCAAGGCATCATTGAGGGCAAGGTGTCCTTTCACATGAGAAGAGGTGTCAAATACAATACGCCATTTGGAAATGTTGTGTTTACTTCGGATTGCTGCGTGATGTGGCAAGTGGTAGGTCTTTTGTAATGTTGCTTGTTCATCAACTCGTTCCACATAACCGTTGGAGAAGTAGTTGAGCATGTGGCGGGTGTACATATTGCTGAACTCTATATCTTTGCTGAATCTGCGACGTAGGGTCTCAAAACGGTGCAGAGCAGTTGTGCGGTTTGTATCTGTGAGGATGTTCTGCTTCCAGCGCAGACGGACCTCTATCCTTCCTCCCTTGATCCGGAAAGATTGACAGAAGCCGTCGAGCAGATGTGTATCATGGACGGTCAACGACTTCTCCTCCAACTATCGGATGCTGAGGGCATCCAGATCCCACATTAATCGTAGTATCGGGTCCAAAGGAGTTGTAATACTATTAACCTGTACTGGGTGAATCGAGACATTAGTCTGGTTACTGTTCAAAATGCAGCCAAAGTGCGATGGGACTAATGTCAGGGTGTCATTTATGTGAATAGGGCTTTCCGTTTTGACAAATCGCCAATAAAAGTCGGACCCAATTAGTATTTCAATGGTTAAATCACATGACTCCTG